TACTATGAATTTAGCATTATAGTGGCGGGAGAGGGGAACATAGCAATAGATAATCTGCTTTTTATCTCTTTGCTGAAGGCAGTTTGTGCTCAATCCCTTAGTTTATTTCTTCTCCTCAGAATGTCATTACTTTTTCATGATAGATGATAGTTCTAGGAGCATGCTCTGAAAGATAACAAGAGAAAGAAAGCATGAAGCTGAACTGGCTTAAAGGAGAAAAAGAAATGTTATCATAATAATTAACCCCAACACACATATATTTGGGAAAGTGGGAAATCAGGTGTTTAGCTGACAACATACTTACCTTGTAGGGCTTTGTTCAGTACTAAGGGGAGGGTGGGGAGAGGGGGAACACCGTGCTTTTAAACAAAAATAAACACATTAATCCCTGAAGTAACTTGCTTGAAAGCAGTGGACCCATCCTAGAGTCCTTTGCTTTACATGTCAAGGGGTTTTGTATATTTTTGATTGCTTTAAAACCATACCAAGATGAACTCAATTAAGCGAGTTCCACTTTCTAAAATCCAGCTTATACATTTGTTGCTGCAGAAATCCTCAGAGGGGTTCATTAGTTGTCAACTGCTGCTGACCCCCCCAAAGTTTATTTGTGTTTGTGCAACTGGTGAATTGCTACCTCTGGGTGACCAAATAGCTTTTGCAGGATAATTGGTACACTGGCTGTCATCACCACGAGGTTCTCCTGAGTGCTCCAGGGCAGAATAAAATACAACTACTGTGGCATTTAATATAGGGTTTTTTTCAAAAAAGAAGAGGTGTTTGCATAGAAAAACTGTACAAAACCAGCAGGTGTAAATGTGAATAATTTTTAGGATTCTTAAACATCCTAGAGGAACACCAGGTTTTACCAGTTCCTTACCCCCCTCTGGATTTTCCTGGTGGAGCTCAGCTGTCTAAATAACTCCTCAGCGGTTATCAGGTTTGTTGTTTCAATGTACATTCACTCTTATCAAACTGTTCCCAGCCCGAGAAGCGAGAGCGGGTGAGCAGCTAGTTAAATGAGTGGATATTTATTCCTCAAGTGTTGTTGAAAGGGTGAGTAAACATGCCTTGTTCTGGAGAAGACTGCAAGCATTCAGGCTGAATAGCGGCTCTTTCTTTCATATCCTGCTTACTATGGAGTATTTTCCCACTGGGTAAAAGGCTCAAAGATGAATGGAGAATTGAGAAGTAGAAAAAGAATTGAACAGCACAGAGGAATAAAAAAGCAATGCAGTGAGGGAAGCTGGACCCAGTGAATCGTAAAATTTCCCCAACTTTGACAGAGCCAGGATTTCAGCCCCAGAGACTTTCTTTTCTGCAAATGAATAAAATCAGCAGCCCTATCTCGATCCAATTCTGTGAGCTGAGAGTATCAGCTTTACCAGCTGCTTCATTATCAGCTTTATCTCCCTCATTCACCGTGAGGAGGGGGCCTTGCTTTTAAAGATACATTGATTACTTTGTAGCCAAGAATATAGACTTAAAGAAATGACACTGACAGCACAGGGCTCTCTGGAGGAGAGGGTGGGCTAAAGAATAAGGAATAGATGTGACAGTGAGGAAAACTCAGCACTTCTTGAAAAACAAAAATCTGAAGTTGAGTGCCTAAAATGCCTAATTCTTTCTGAAAATCTTGAGCTAACAATTTTGTTTTCCCAGGAGAGCGGTTCAGCTAAAATATTGCTAAGAATATTATAAATCTTCTAATGACTTCCAATTTTGTTTTGTGATTCCAGGAACTTATCTTGGCTCAATGAAGAAATACAACCATTAGATAATGTCAAGTCTTCCCATCTTCTTGGTATATCTTCGGATATTCAAGCAAGAGGAGTAGCACAGTGGTTCTCTCGATGCAGATTTAGGCTTGGGGTGCATATGTGATGGCTTACTTCCAAGTCATCTGAAGGATGGTGCCTTTGTGAGAAGAGTTGCCAACCTAGTATAAATACTCCCAATTCCAGTTAATCAAATTAAAACTCATAGGTTTTAGAGCACATCTTAGGATTCTTTAGAAAACTATTATATATAGGCCAAAAAGAACTGATGCTGGACATGCTCAGGCAGCATGCAACTGGAGGCCTCTGGTTTAGAAAGGTGGGGAGAGACACAGCTAGCAAAAGACTTCAAACCCAGCTAGCAATGATATATCACACAGCCTCCAGCTTTTGTAGAAATGATGTGATGACACTGTGACGCTCTGAAAATGCAACACCAGGCTGTGGCCATGCTCAGCTGAGCTTTCCGATGTTCTGCAATCGTTCCTTTGGTTTGTAGAAAATGGCCAAAGAGTAAGACTGCTTGATTCTGGCAAAGGCTGGCTTTGGAAGTAAAGCTCTCTCCCTCTCTAGCTGTTCAGCTGGAGCGCTCGGGTTTCCTCTTATTTTATCCCCCGCAGAGAGAAAAAGAGAGTTATTCAGTGGTCCCAATGGCTTCACAGAGCCTTGCACTCATGAGGCCATGAGACACTACCCCTTAGTGCAACGCTCCAAGCACTAGATGCCTATTGTAGGCTGTAATTCTTGGCCCCACCTATTTTCAAGAGAGCACAGATTGTATGTGTACTAGTTATATACTGACCTTTGACCGCATCAGCCTATTAATTTTATCAGACTTAAAAATGTATCATGCACCAGCCAAGGGCCTGACTGGTGCAAATTATGTTGTTTTGGTGTTTTGTTTTATTTTTTTTTTTTCTCATAATTTCATTCATGTGCAGAATCTTACTGACAGCAGCATAATTCCTACACAGCTTTGTGAATCCAACCCCCAGTTGTCATTGTGATTGCAGTTATACTAAATTCAGCGTGGCTCTTTTCACTGAGTTGTGTGTGAAAAGCAGCCATTTAAGGCCTGCTTGCCGAAGAAAGGCCAGCAGCCTAGGACCGTGCAGAAGGTGTTCCTTTGCTCCATAGCTGTATCTCCCATTTTAAATAAAAGTTAAAATGTGGCAAGAGATGCAAAACTTAGGGCAGAACTGTCTGTGTACCCGCAATATTTCTTAGAAGATAAGGTACCATGTAGTCTCTAAGATGTATCCTCTAAGTGAGCCTTGGAAATTATTAGCTTGCAGACAGTTATCAGTGAACAAATTGTTTGCTATCACTTCAAAGCATGCTGACTGCGTTCCTCAGTACCAAGGTTTTGGAGGTTTGCAGATAGCCTGGGTTCAGCCACACACAGATCCTGAATTCCCTTGTCAATGTAGAGTTTTGTAACGTTATTTACCCCAGGTCTCCATCGAGTTGAGATTAGCTCACACATATAGCTGGTGATGCTCTTGTCATTGTGTTTAGGTGGAATGAAATCAGTTGCAAATTACCCTCATGACATGCCGTGACTCTCTCCTCCTATGCTTTGCCGTGTGCTTTCCCTGATGCAATGAAGGTCCGGTTTTGGTGGTCTGTCCTCAGAACCTAATAGATCTAAAGTTTGACCAGCAGCGGCTCAAGGAAAAGATACTTTTTCCCAATGGACCAGAGTGTCTTGAGAAGCCTTTAGCCTAATAAGTTTTTCAAGATTTCTGCCTCTCTCATTTTTGCTTCCCAGTCTGAATAATGGATAGCTTTGAACAATGCAATGACCAAGAAACTGAATAGAGTATGAAGAGTGAGTGGTTTGGGTGTAAAACTAAACAGTTGGAGTGTAAATATTTTTTAAAGGTTTTATGCCACAGTTAGACATGAAATGAAGAAATGGCTCTTCACCTCCACCAATTCCAGACGAGGAAGTTTTAAATAGCCGTGTTAGTTTGCATTGTGGCCAAACATGGTTGGTCTGTACAAATCCTAACAATGGAAAGGGCATTTCTTCTTTTATATATATAGCTTGTCTAGTTTGAACTGAAGTCTGAAACGTTGAGGATTCCTCATGCCAAACATGCATTTTGTATTCAATATCCTACTGAGCTGTTTCATAAGGGTTTTCAAGGAAGGATTGAATGCATTCTCTCTTAAGGGTCCAAAGTACCCTTTCCTCCAAAGAGGAAGTCCTAAGATGAATTTCCTGTTCTGTTTGAGGGATGTAGTTTTGTACTTTCTTGGAAAAAAATCACTTGATCATGATCTGGCCAACTACTATCCACCTCCTAGTCTTCCTGGTTTGATCAAGAGGGTACCATACATTATCAGAGGTAACTTTTACAACATTTAGTTGTCCCTAATAATAGTTATTTATCTGTTAGAGACTCAAGTTTGGTGTGGAAATGTCATTGATAATATTGCTCAAAAAAAAACCTCATCACTGGCTAAAGGTCAAGCATCCATAACTGTACTATTAGATCTGTTCAGTCCTTTCAATGCCATGACTCACAGGATGCAGTTGACTTGTATGCAGAGTCTTGCAGTGTCAGATGGATTGATTCTGTGTAGCTGTGAGATTTTCTTTCAGCTAAGGAAGCTATAGTGGTTGTGGGCAGTTGCAGTTGTCCTGCTATCTTAGCACAGAGCGTGGGTATGTGTTTGACTGGAGGGTGCTAGAATGGTTGTTGAGGTACAGAAAGTGATATTGTCATGTTAAGTTGATACTCGTCTCTCATTGAGCTAATGCAAAGAATGCTACAGACAAATTCTGGCAGAATGGTATGGATGAAGGTAAAAAGAAAATGTTCAAGCCAGTATGGAACTAAAGATAATAGTTTGGAAAAGTTATCAAAGAAAATTGAAGAATAGTGTGGGTTCCACTATGGTTTTGCTCCATTTGGCTATCCAGCTTAGATTAGTAAAATCCAGGTTAGTATAGACTGTATTTTGGCCATTTAGAAAATGTTTGTACATGTGGATTCATTGTTATGTTAAAAAGTGTCTGTCCTTTCTCTGCATTACTGTTGCAAGTCACTATTAACCAGGCATGGCAGTAGGTAATATTTTTTTGTATGCTTCAGCTGGAATATTGTAAATACCATTCCTTTTAAGTACTTTTTTTTTTAGATAGACTCACTAATTTTTGCATGCTCCTTTCACACAGGTAAATCTAATCATAAATATTTTTCTTTTATCTAAACATTAATACATGATGACTGTCTCCTGGAAGTCAAATTCAAACAAATCAAACCAGCGCTGAGTGCCCTTGACAACCAAAATTAAATAGTGAATATAGGAATTGGGAAATTCAGACCAGAAGCTTACACAAGCTTTAATGCCCAGATTCAACACTTTTGTGATGCAACAGCATATTTGTGTGTTGAAATTCGCATTCATAAAATGCTGTAGCAGTGCTAGCAGTTAAGTGCATTTGCCAAAATCTTGGCTCAACTGTATATAGAAGCACCTTTACTTTAAAATATCATATGCAGTAAGTAGGAAGCAACAGGTAGCATACCTACAGGAGTCACATTTTAAAATGCTAGTACCAGTCCCTTGCATAATGATCCCCAAAGGCAGCATGCTGGAAGAGTGTTACTTTCAAGAGTAATGGCATCGCTTTGCAAACTGACTATATTTCTCTGTAAGATCTCCCCTGGAAGACAGCATCATTGTCATTAAACCGTAAAAGCTGCCAGGAAACTTCTGTGAGTTCTCAACAGGGGCTACTGAAATTCTGTCTTGCTTGAATAACTTTTTGCACTTCACTTTTTTTAAAGAGCCTTCTCATCTGCGTATCAAAAACCAGCAGACTGACAGATTGGACTCTAGGCCCTCTCCCTCTACTAGAAACATCAAAGTGAAAGTGGTTAAATTGCATCTAAGTGACAACTTCACACGGCCTATGCCGATTATATATTGTAGAAACTATAACTCCAGGAGAACTGGAACCCACAAACAGGTTTTTGATGAGCAATGTGCAAGAGTGGCTTTTGTTTT